TTCCTCAAAAAAAGAAAAAACCAACAAATAAATGAGCTCACACTTCATCTCAAAGCCCTAGAAAAGGAAGAGCAAAACAACAGCAAATGTAGTAGAAGGCAAGAAATAATTAAAATCAGAGCGGAAATCAACAAAATTGAAACAAAAGAAACTATTGAAAAAATTGACAAAACTAAAAGTTGGTTCTTCGAAAAAATAAATAAGATCGACAGACCCTTAGCCATGCTAACGAAGAGAATAAGAGAGAGAACTCAAATTACTAACATATGGGATGAAAAAGGCAATATCACAACAGATGCTACAGAAATACAGAAGACAATTAGAAATTATTTTGAAAACCTATATTCTAATAAAATAGAAGATAGTGAAGACATTGATAAATTTCTTAAGTCATATGATTTGCCCAGACTGAGTCAGGAGGATACACACAATTTGAACAGACCAATATCAATGGATGAAATAGAAGAAACCATCAAAAGACTACCAACCAAGAAAAGCCCAGGACTGGATGGGTATACAGCGGAGTTTTACAAAACCTTTAAAGAAGAATTAATACCAATACTTTTCAAGTTATTTCAGGAAATAGAAAAAGAGGGAGCTCTTCCAAATTCATTCTATGATGCCAACATCACCCTGATTCCGAAACCAGACAAAAACACCTCAAAGAAAGAAAACCAATATCTCTAATGAACCTAGATGCAAAAATCCTCAATACAATTCTGATGAATTGGATACAAAAACACATCAAAAAAATTGTGCACCATGATCAGGTAGGATTCATCCCTGGGATGCAAGGATGGTTCAATATACGGAAATCAATAAATGTTATTCACCACATCAATAGACTTAAAGATAAGAACCATATGATCATCTCGATAGACGCACAAAAAGCATTCGACAAAGTAAAGCATCGCTTTATGTTCAAAACATTAGAAAAACTAGGGATAACAGGAACTTACCTCAACATTGTAAATGCTATCTATGCTAAGCCTCAGGCTAGCATCATTCTGAATGGAGAAAAATTGAAGGCATTCCCTCTAAAATCTGGAACAAGACAGGGATGCCCTCTCTCTCCACTTCTGTTCAACATAGTTCTCGAAACACTGGCCAGAGCAATTAGACAGACAAAAGAAATTAAAGGCATAAAAATATGAAAAGAAGAACTTAAATTATCACTATTTGCGAAAGACATGATTCTATACCTAGAAGACCCAAAAGAGTCTACAAAAAAACTACTAGAACTAATAAATGAATTCATCAAAGTGGCAGGATATAAAATCAACACGCATAAATCAAAGGCATTTCTGTATATCAGCGACAAAACTTCTGAAACAGAAATGAGGAAAAACACTCCATTCACAATATCCTCAAAAAAATAAAATAAAATACTTGGGAATCAACCTAACAAAAGAGTGAAAGATTTATACAATGAAAACTACAGAACCCTAAAGAGAGAAGTAGAAGAAGATCTTAGAAGATGGAAAAATATACCCTGTTCATGGATAGGCAGAACTAACATCATCAAAATGGCGATATTACCAAAAGTTCTCTATAGGTTTAATGCAATGCCAATCAAAATCCCAACAGCATTTCTTTTTTTGGTGTGTGTTGTTTCCCTTTTTTTTTATTGGTTGTTCAAAATATTACAAAGCTCTTGACATATCATATTTCATACATTTGATTCAGGTGGGTTTTTAACTCCCAATTTTACCCCAAATACAGATTGCAGAATCACGTCGGTTACACATCTACATTTTTACATAATGCCCTATTAGTAACTGTTGTATTCTGCTACTTTTCCTATCCTCTACTATCTCCCCTCCCCTCCCCTCCCATCTTCTCTCTCTACCCCATCTACTGTAATTCATTTCTCTCCTTGTTTATTTTCCCATTCCCCTCACTCTCGGACTATTCCCTGAAGACCTTAAAAGAGCGTACTACAGGGATACTGCTACATCGATGTTCATAGCAGCACAATTCACAATCGCTAGACTGTGGAACCAACCCAGATGCCCTTCAATAGATGAATGGATAAAAAAAAATGTGGCATTTATACACAATGGAGTATTATACAGCACTAAAAATGACAAAATCATGGAATTTGCAGGGAAATGGATGGCACTAGAGCAGATTATGCTTAGTGAAGCTAGCCAATCCCTAAAAAACAAATACCAAATGTCTTCTTTGATATAATGAGAACAACTAAGAACAAAGCAGGGAGGAAGAGCAGGAAGAAAAGATTAACATTAAACAGATACATGAGGTGGGAGGGAAAGGGAGAGAAAAGGGAAATTGCATGGTAATGGAGGGAGATCCTCATTGTTATACCAACAGCATTTCTTGTAGAAATAGATAAAGCAATCATGAAACTCATATGGAAAAATAAAAGACCCAGAATAGCAAAAGCAATTCTAAGCAGGAAGTGTGAATCAGGCGGTATAGCGATACCAGACTTCAAACTATACTACAGAGCAGTAGTAACAAAAACAGCATGGTACTGGTACGAAAACAGGCGGGTGGACCAATGGTACAGAATAGAGGACACAGAGACTAATCCACAAAGTTACAACTATCTTATATTTGATAAAGGGGCTAAAAGCATGCAATGGAGGAAGGATAGCATCTTCAACAAATGGTGTTGGGAAAACTGGAAATCCATATGCAACAAAATGAAACTGAATCCCCTCCTCTAGCCATGCACAAAAGTAAACTCAAAATGGATCAAGGAGCTTGATATCAAATCAGAGACTCTGCGTCTGATAGAAGAAAAAGTTGGCTCTGATCTACATATTGTGGGGTCGGGCTCCAAATTCCTTAATAGGACACCCATAGCACAAGAGTTAAGAACAAGAATCAACAAATGGGACTTACTTAAACTAAAAGTTTTTTCTCAGCAAGAGAAACAATAAGAGGGGTAAATAGGGAGCCTACATCATGGGAACAAATTTTTACTCCTCACACTTCAGATAGAGCCCTAATATCCAGAGTATACAAAGAACTCAAAAAATTAGACAATAAGATAACAAATAACCCAATCAACAAATGGGCCAAGGACCTGAACAGTCACTTCTCAGAGGAGGACATACAATCAATCAACAAATACATGAAAAAATGCTCACCATCTCTAGCAGTCAGAGAAATGCAAATCAAAACCACCCTAAGATACCATCTCACTCCAGTAAGATTGGCAGCCATTATGAAGTCAAACAACAAGTGCTGGTGAGGATGTGGGGAAAAGGGTACTCTTGTACATTGCTGGTGGGACTGCAAATTGGTGCAGCCAATTTGGAAAGCAGTATGGAGATTTCTTGGAAAGCTGGGAATGGAACCACCATTTGACCCGGCTATTGCCCTTCTCAGACTATTCCCTGAAGACCTTAAAAGAGCGTATTACAGGGATACTGCCACATAGATGTTCATAGCAGCACAATTCACAATAGCTAGACTGTGGAACCAACCCAGATGCCCTTCAATAGATGAATGGATTAAAAAATGTGGCATTTATACACCATGGAGTATTACGCAGCACTAAAAAAATGACAAAATCATGGAATTTGCAGGGAAATGGATGGCACTAGAGCAGATTATGCTAAGTGAAGCTAGCCAATCCCTAAAAACAAATGCCAAATGTCTTCTTTGATATAATGAGAGCAACTAAGAACAGAGCAGGGAGGAAGAGCAGGAGGAAAAGATTAACATTAAACAGAGACATGAGGTGGAAGGGAAAGGGAGAGAAAAGGGAAATTGCATGGAAATGGAAGGAGACCCTCTTTGTTATACAAAATTACATATAAGAGGTTGTGAGGGGAATGGGAAAATAAACAAGGAGAGAAATGAATTACAGTAGATGGGGTAGAGAGAGAAGATGGGAGGGGAGGGGAGGGGGGGGATAGTAGAGGATAGGAAAGGTAGTAGAATACAACAGTTACTAATATGGCATTATGTAAAAATGTGGATGTGTAACCGATGTGATTCTGCAATCTGTATTTGGGGTAAAAATGGGAGTTCATAACCCACTTGAATCTAATGTATGAAATATGACATGTCAAGAGCTTTTTAATGTTTTGAACAACCAATAAAAATGCCTTCTGCTGTCATATATATCTAATTAAAATTAATAAATTAGTTAATGAAAAAGAAAAATTATCTAGAAACTATAATGTGCTTTCACTAAAATATTGTTTATAATTATAATAACCCACTACTTTCATTTAAAATAAATTGAAGTGATATTTAATGACAAAGTCACTTTGTGATTAGAAGGATGCAACTGCATGAGGAGCTGGGTGAAGGAGGCATACCTGGCTTGTGCTCTGGTGCTCTGTTGGAGAGAGAGACCAGAGCTTCCCAAAGCAGTATGTCCTCCTCGTCCTCCTTGGCCACTGCTGTTGAGGTACAACCAGCCCTGACATTTTGTGGAATACACCCAGCTCCTCCTCAAAACCACCTGCACAGAGCCCTGCTCCCTCATTGTGCTCTTTTTTTTTTATATACCTTTATTTTATTTATTTATTTTTATGTAGTGCTGAGGATCGAACTTAGTGCCCTGCACATGCTAGGCGAGTGCTCTATTGCTGAGCCACAACCCCAGCCCCTCATTGTGCACTTTGGATTTTTCTCCGGGGAACTGTGGGCCAGAAGAAGGGTGGCAAGTGACATGTCTGTCTACTACACTGCCTAGATCCATAGCAGGTTAGAGTTCAAATCAGTAATTTTACAACTGGAATACTGAATCATCCTGGAGAGATGCTTCCATACATTAAGTTTGGGCCCCGTGCTCCAAAGTTTCATTCATTCCAGGATCTACCCGTTCTGTTCTTTTTATAGGAAATTGGGAAGATGCTAACTTCTCCAGCATCTGTACTAACATTGGTTTGATGTGAACTCGGTAACTTGCACAAGGAGACATTTCAGATTATGATCAACAAGCCCACATAACTGGCATTCAAATGTCATGCAGGTAAATTCAGTAACTTGTGCTGCAAGGGTGGGGGGCCTACCCGGTTGCTTTCACTCTTTGAACGGTCATTCTTCGCCTTGGCTGTCTTTTCTGCAAGCTTCTTCTGCCTTTGAGGGCCTCTTCCAAAGAAAATGTAGTTGACAAAGGCATACTCCAGAAGGGCCAGGAACACAAAGACAAAGCAGCCCATCAGGTACATGTCAATGGCTTTGACATAGGGAATTTTGGGCAAAGTTTCCCGAAGGTGTGTGTTGATGGTTGTCATCGTCAGCACAGTTGTGATCCCTAGGAAATAAACAGAGCTATGAGTGGTTGTGGTTTTGCTGCCCCGGTCTTCCCTTTTTATGTTTTCTCAAATACCTTAAAGCACTTGGATAACATGACTGAATGTTACTGGGCAACTGGAACCAATGGAGCTTGCAGTGTGTCATGTAGACAGCATCATCATACTTCATAACAGCAGGGTTACATCTCTACTTTGGGGAAGTGAGACCATGTGGGGGCATTGCCTCCAACACACTTTACCAATAAAGAGAATGGATCGTTGAGAATGGAAGGATAGATATGTAGGGAAGCTAGAAAGAATGTGGTCCTTATGAATGTTCAAAGAAATGAAAATCATCCAGAATTCAACATAAAGCAATAAGTGTCTTGATAAGAAAGCTCCAGGAAGAAGAATGAATAGGATGAGGTCAATGGTTGGAGAGATGACAGATAATGATGCTTGTCAGGAGAAATAAACCCCAACTTCAGTGTCAACTGGACGCAAGAGAAATGAGAAAATGAACTATTATTATTATTATTACCATTATCATCATATCATCATTATCATATGTCATTTAGGATGAGGTCCACTTATCAGCTCAAGGATAAGGAAGCAGTAGGGCAAAGTTCTTAAGGACTGACCATCTCACAGTCGTTTATTTCCTTCCTTAATCAAGAGTCTGTACTACACATAACCTGTTCAGGAAATGTTTGCTTATATCAAGGGGTAATGGTATTGCTCATATTATAGAATCTTGTCATACTCTGTGACAACTGATCAAGTTCTTTAAATTTTTTTTTTTTTTGTAATTTTGCTGAGTTGTTTATATAGTATTGTGTGAATGATCTCACTGTTTCCCTAATGAAACTCAGTTTAGTCTTTAAACATAAGAGCCATATTTTGCAATTTTCCCTCACACAGTAATAGACTTTTTCAACCCCTCTAAGCTAAAAATTAACTATTGTACCTGATGTGAGATGCAGTGGAAGCCTGATAGGTAAGCAATCCCAAGATAGAGGTTCCGAGTCACAGCCCAGGCCACTATACACACAGCCATTTGTTAAGCATCTTCGTTTGAAGCCCTCTGGTTTCCTGCTCCATCTTCAGAGGCATGAATTCTGAGCCTCTGTGTCCCGTGTGAGGACCTCGAGACTACAGAGCTCAGTTTGCCTGTGAAAAGCTGAAGAGCAGGGAAGAGAGCCAAGTCCTTATCTCCAACAAATTCTCTCTCCACCAAGCTCTGCACTGCTACTAACAGCAGAGAAGAGAACTGAAGAATGGGGAAGCTATTTTTATGTGTAACTGCAAACCACGATTGCTTATGGAATGTATGGAAATCTAAGATGTTAGAATATTTTAAGAGTTTCCTTTAACATCACATTCATGTGCACCTGGGGACTTTTTAAAAAATCTGAACATGGCAATGGGATAATTACAGTTTACAAATAAATGGAAAAAAAAAAACATACAAATGCTACAAAATTAAGCGTTCTTGACATTATTCAAAATTTTTGTAATGTTGCTGCTGCTACTATTTTTTCCCCCTTTCAAATGGATTTGGGAAGCCTGAATGCTTTGCTTTAATTGGTACTCTGCCTCTCTAGCTGAGAAGTTTGAATGGGAATGTGTACACAGGCCTCAGTAGATGTCACCAGGAAATGGGCTGAAAATCTAGATGAGGACAAATCAGCACATCTCACAGGATCTCAGCCTGGTCAGTGAGATCCTGAGGAATGTGGGCTGTGATCTGGCCCTACGTCCATCAGCACAGGATCAAGGATTACCTTAATAAGACTCTTTAGTGAATGGCTGCTGTAGGTTGAGTATGGCTTGACTGTACCCACCCCTAAAGTGTCATATGTTGATAGCTTGGTCCCCAGCAGGGCACTGTTAAGAAATTGTGGAATCTTTAAGGGGTGGGGCCTTGTGCAAGTTTGTTGGGTGGTTGGGGCACTGATTTCAGAAGGGGTTAAGCAGTCTCATGGACACCTTGGTTCTTGAGAGAGTAGGTCATTCTGAAAGGGCAAAACTGACCCCTCCCTGCTCTCTAGCTTCCCATATGGCCAAGTGACCTCTTCCTCTCACGTGTACTACCACATTGATGCCATCAACCATGTGAGGCTGTCAAGGTAAACTTCATCAAGGCTGAGCAGAAGTTGGTGCCATGCTCTTAACATTTACTAAACAGTGGGCTAAATAAGTATCTTTTCTTTATATATTACCCAGCCTCAGGTATTTGGGTATAGCAATGAAAAATGAACTAACACAGTGCTCCTGACTTTCCAGTTGGAGCTCATATGAACTCTCAGTCTACATTTGCAAAATTTTTCTTCTGTTTTCCCTGCTATCTAAGATACTATGGAGAGTAAGATACTATAGTGTTTCACAGCATGGACAGCAGAGTGACATGGCTCAGACCCAAAGTCTAACTCCAACTCAATTATCAGTTGCTATTAAGAAGTCTAAAGACAATGTCTAAAAAGCACTGGTTATGTGCTAATAAATGGTAACTGGCATTAATACGAACAATGTCTCAGAAAACAATTCTTCAGTGGCTTTAGGTTTCCTGGACTTAAACTACTTTCTAAGGAGACACATCTGACTAGAGCACTGGCTGGGTGGTAGTGGCTTTCATATTCTTTGTACATTCACCAGGCTGGTATGATTTTCCACTAATTGTCAGCCTCAATTTATTTCTCATTTAGATTATGCTAATGAAACACTTTATTTCAAAAACTGCATTTATAAATATAACTATGAAATAAAAGTAGCATTTATGAGCATCATATAATCAAAACATTTTGTTTCTCTTTCTTTTGATCCAAATAATGTGGCCTAAATTATATTACTATACAATTCCACTTAAAACACAGATACTGTTATTTACCAATCACTGGACTTCAGGGTTTTGAGGGAGACCCTCTAATGACAATGTTTCACAGTGTGGTGGTTGTTAACACTACCAGTTCAATATCTCTGGGGGTCAGATCCTGGGAAACAGAAGCATAAAGTCTTGCAGTGTATAGAGCAGCTGAGCACATCTGGAAACATTGGCACAAGCCTCCAGTTGGCCCCTAACCCCCACCTGTCAGTTCTAGGTTCTTCAGTGCCTGGAGTCCAAGGGAAAACATCCCATAAAGGTCCTTGCTAAGCACCCCTCTGTCTGTGCAGACGCTACACTGTCATGACCTCATTTGGAAATCAGATGTGTTTACCATAGTGCAACCCTCTGGGATGAATGCAAACAGTACTCCAAGTATTTCAAAGAGCAAGATGATGAGGGAGGAGATGGTAGAATGGAGATTTCTCCAACCCAAACTGATATAGCAGGATCTAATAATAATAATAATAATAATAATAATAATAATAATAATGCTTGCTTGGCTTTATTTTTCCTTTAAAAAATCCATGGTGTTTACAATGCAGTAGACCAAATAACTCTTCAATGTTGTGCCTATTGGCACATTAGGAATGACAGTAGTCCCCCTTCATCCACAAGAATATATTCTGAGACAAACAGTGAATGCCTGCAGTCATAGATAGTGCTAACTTCTAAGATTTTCCTATATGTACACACCTATGGCAATGTTTTAATTTATAAATTAGACACACTAAGAGATTAGTGACAATATTTAATAATAAAAGAGAACAATTATAATAATATATTGTAATAAAAGTTATGTAAAACATGAACTGCTTATTTTTAGAATTTCTAATTGAATATTTTCAGATCACAGTTGATGTGGCTAACTAAAATGGCAGAAAGGGGAAACAAAGATAAGGGAGGACAAGAGCACCTACAGTGGTTAAGGGAGAGGCCCTAGAGTTAGAGTAACTGTACTGACATCTCTCTTCTGACTGTTAGTAATTTTGTGACTTTATACCATTCGTTTAGTTTCTCTGTACCTCATATTCCTGCTCTGCAAAATGGGAGCAGTGGATCTACCTCTTCTGCAATGGATATTCTGCAGAATAGGTGATTATACTATCAGCCTTAGCAGAGAATGCATTTGATAAGTTTCAGCCTTATCTTTGCTGCTGTTGTTTTGATGATGATGATGATGATATTCTATATTTATGACATATTTTCCTTAGTCAGTTGGGTTATATACCTGCAGACAGATTTAAGACAGTTCTTATGATGGTGGGAGGGATAAGTGTGCTGGACAGAGGGGATAAGTGTGCTGTCCAAGGCTGAGAGCAGGACCTGGACCTACTGGACCTACAGCCCTGTGATCATGGCTTTTTTTCTTGATCTCTGGGCCTCAAGTTAATGACTCATAAATACCTACTCACTCCTGCCCCTCAGCCTGCATCTCTGATCTCTAACCTGGAAGAAACTGATAGTACGCTAGTGGTGAAACCTTAGGAACCCCATCCAGAACATTTCTTCATTCTCACAAAGCCACAGAGACATGATTTAGGCCTGAAATAATAATGCTGTGTCAAGAAAATGTAGAATCTACTGTCATATATCATAATGAGGTTGGATTGATTACAACCCATTTTGGATAGATTACCTGTTTTATCTTCTTTCATATTGTGAAAGACAATATTTTACAAGTAAGAAGGTATAGAATTTGTAGTAGCTGGGAAACTTAAGAGATTGACACTTTCAGTACACCTCACCCCTGATGATGCCAGATAATTATGGCTCTTTGGTGCTCATATTTCTCTAATGTCTGCAGTTAATCACAAAGTCCCTGCAGATATTCACTCTGAAGCTAAAGTAGTTTCAGCTCCAGTTCTCCACTTGCACAGGCCTCTTCTAGGTCTGGGGAGGGGACCCAGCAATCTTGCATTTACATGTTTTGTATTGCTTTTCTTAAAAGGAACAACCTAAAATTGTATAAGCACACGGTTCCACAAAATTTGGAAATTTTACAAATTCATTGGATGTCTGACTTTTGCAAATGAGAAAAATGAAAATGGTTTAACAAAGAGTAATCTAGAAATATTAAAATGAAAACCAAGTAAAACCTAGGTAAGACTGAGGTTACAGTGCATTCACTTTGGGCTGTGGAGAACTAGTAGAGAATTTTTAAAGAGAATTTTGCTTGCCATAATCATTAGAAATACATAACAATTCATACAAGGTTCTTCTTAGTTTTTTGACATTTTATTCTTAAAGTACTTTTTCAAAAAAATTTCACCTAAACACCTTTAGGAACAGCTCCCTGATTTTTTCCCTTAAACTATACTTGTGTGCTATTTCCTAGGGATAAAGTCTAATCTTCAAGACACAACTGTGCAAATCACATAGCTTAAGTCTAGGACATTCACACCCCCCCCCTCTCTCTCTCTCAGATAAAATGATAATCAATGTAAGGTCCTGGAGAATGTTGATAAACAGGAAAATGAATGCAAGATGAGAAAATTTGAACCCTAAATTTTTATGCTTTTCTGTTAACTACTTTATCAGCAAGATTGTTGATAATGTTTTTCCATCAATTTTTAAAAGTATTGTTGCTAATTTCACTTTCAGGAATTAAACCCAACCCTACCCAAAGGATGAATGGCCTGGAGACTGTTCATCAGCTCTGTACTTACCTAAAATGTATTCAAATACTTATTTTATTCATGAAGTTTCATAATAATTAACTGAGTAGAGGGTGCTTCTGAAACTATAAGCCTTCCCTTAAAATCAATATTAAAAATAATATTGGAACCTATAAGATATATTGTATACCAGCTAATAATCCAGTTGCCAAATAACCAAGGGTCAGAAAAGATCACTAAGATTCTTAGGAACTACTCAGAATCTAATTGCCTATTTTAATGTTCATTAAATTGTGTAATTCCAATTATATGCTATAGTATTTGACTATTTTTCTTACTTAAAAAAGAATACACAATTAATCAAGTCTGCTTTCTGGGCCATGGAATAATTTTGAGCAGGAGATGTTAATCCTAGTTTTAAAATTAGTGTCAAAAATAGTTGTATTATGCAAATATTCTGCAAACATATTTTCCCTTTCATGGGCATGAAAATTCACATTTGGGCCTTATAATTAAATTAACACATCAAGGGAATCATGCATGAAATTAGTGTTTCAAGATAAAAAAAAAATTAACTATCTGGACAAGACTGGTGTCAGGATGTCAAAAAGACCTCACTGAACCATAGCCTTTAAACTCCCTTAATACCATAATGACATAGTCACTTCGCAGTTTAGATACTGGTTAAAAGCAGCACCTACCGAGGGCAACTCGAGCTGCAGATGCGTCGTAGTTAATCCAGAAAGACACCCATGAGAGGATAGTGATCAGTATAGAGGGCATGTAAGTCTGAAGGATGAAGTATCCAATGTTTCTCTTCAGCCGAAAACTCAGTGAGAGTCGAGGATAGGCACCTGTAGTAAACCGACAAGGATATTATTCTGGTGAAGAAACTAAACAGATACGGTTTTGCTTTGACTTCCACAGGTCAACAGCATGCATCAGGAAAGCCCAAGGACTGAGGGTCAATCCACAACCCCGGAGTTTGCTTCTATCCGCCTGAATGTATTTATAGACGTGAAAAGGGAGTGTACATCAGTCTATTTTTAAACATAGACTGACTGACTAATGAGGATAGTCTTCTAAGGCTAAATGCTCAGCTGGGAACTGTCCCTGGGAAAACTTTGGGGAAATTTTAAACTTAGAATACAGAGTGATGCCAAATATCTTGTTTATTTTTTCATGGATGACTGTCCCCTTCTCATCCATTGTTGACAAGGGAGATTCGACTTACGACTTACTGGGCAAAACAACTTTTGTCAGTCGTCCAGAGGACTCTGAGCATAGGTACTGGAGGCACTGACCCTAGACCAACTGTGGTAGTTCAAGGGCATCCTGAGAACTAGCGGGGAAGAGAAGTTCAGTTCATGGAGATCAACAATATACACTGAGAAGCTCTTTCTGGCCACAGAAAAGGTACTAAGGAGATCCTTAGAGAAATACTTGTCTGTTTTCTTTTTATTTTCTCTGTCCTTTGGGAGGTGCTGGGGATTAAAGCCAGCGTCTTGCACAGGGTGGGCAAGCACTCTACCACTGAGCTACTTCCCAGCCTCTGCCCATTTTCTTATATGAAGAATCTAGCAATAAACCTTATTGCTTCATTCTGAAAGCACATCTTGGAATTCTACCACTACCGCTATTATAGAGTGAGAAGATAGCCCATTTGGGATGTCATGTTTAGTGTTGTATTTGTCTTTTATTTCCTGGATTCTCACAAAACTGCTTGAAGTTCCATCCATGAAAACTCAGTGGCCTTGCCAATTACCAACTTCCGTTACCCTCCTCCCTCTTTTGCTGATGGGTGGTCCACTTTGCCTGAGATTGCCTCTATTCTTAGCTTCAGGAGACCTTGCCTTTCTTATTCCTTCTTCTGTAAGACTGACAGAGTCCTATTCTCCTTCCCCCAAATACATGCATTTTCCAGAAGTTATTCCATGTCTCTGTCTGTGTTTGTCCCTGCATTCTTTTCATTTGCAGTCTGATTCACTCATAAAACTATTACCTTTATGTAGAAGATGAATGGTTTTATACCCTGGCTTCCTATTTTATTATCAACTACACTTTCAGCCAGGATTATATAAAAGAGAAAAAGAATCACTTAATAAACTCAACACAAAGTTTAACAATTTGGGGAATTTCTTCCAGTCTTTTCTTCTGTGAGTGTGTGTGTGTGTGTGTGTGTGTGTTTCTTCTCTGATCAATGCATGTATCACATCATCATCATCACATAAATATTTTCATGGTTGTTACAAACTGTAAACACAACTTCAAAATTTCCATCAAATATATACACATGAAATTTGAAATCTATAGTTTATAAATACCAATTCCTCAATGTTATATATTTAGGTGATTTGCATTTTTATAAAACTAAATATCTTTGAGCAGAGCTCTTTTGATCCATTTAGGCTTATTTCCTTAGGATGAATATGCCAAAAGATAACTTGCTAAGCCAGTGTTTAAGGCTTTCATATACACTATCAAATATCTTTGCAAAAGAATCATACCAATGTACCCTGACAGTATCAGCACTTTACAAAAGTACCTGTCTTGCCTTGCAAACATGATAATAATGTACATCTCTTCACTTTTGCTAATTCTCATGAGAAACAAATGTGTCTCTTTGATTGATTTCTTTCAATATTTTGCTTGTCCTCTGTATTTAATCTTATTTTCTCATAATTATTTATTTTTCTCATTTCTTTTTCCTCTTACTGTTTTTACCTTTTCACTTAGTTTTTCATATACTAATCCTTACTTGTATCATCTGCAAGTATTTTCCTAGTTATTCATTTTAAAACTTAAAATAGTTTTAAGTGGAGGCCATATAGATGCTTAAATTTTTGCATGTGATTGCATTTATCCATTTCACTTCTTTTGATTTTTTGGCTTACAAAATTCACAATCTATCTACAAACTTATTTTGAGAGTTGGCGATTATGAGTTTCACACAATATAAAAGTATGACTTTTTGTTCAATACACAACCAATTTTTGAAATACCATTAATGGAATAAGGCTTCCCTCCCCATGGATTTAGTACAGCTCTGTTGTTTTACATTCCATTCTGTGTAAATATGGAACACTAGCATGATATGCTATTTGAGGACCCTCGCCACAGGGTTTGCTATCTCTAGGCCCCTAACACTGCTCCATCCACACATTTCAGAAGCACAGCATTGAAACTCACTGCTATCCCAGACACAAAATAATTGTCTGTATTTCCTGACTCTACTGATTCAAACTCATTGTTCTTAAAATAATATCTTCTCCCATCCATATTTCAAGGCCTTGGTCAGATGCTACATCTTCCATGATTCCTTTCTTCTTCCATGATTCCTTTCTTGAATTATTTTCTTTCTTATTAAAAGTTTAATTTTGAGTGTATACTATAATAATATCTTCTTTAGTAAGCTGTACATTTCCCAGGATTAAATCTGTATTTTTTCACATACTGCAACATGTAGGTAAATGCCTAAACAATGACAGGTTATGAATTAATACACTCATATTCAAAAAGAATTAAAAATAGGAATAGTTGAGTTTAGTACACAAAATATTCAATATATTTATTGAATATTAGAGCTACATATAGCAACAGAGGTTTTGAAATGACAATGAACCTGACTGTATTTCCCAACTTTCCATTTTCCAAGTCATGTTTCTTAATATTTTGAAAACACATATTCAGTGAAGCTGTTCCAACAGAAGCTGAACTTGACACCCATGCAATAAAGTACCACTGACACTCTGTTGGGAAACTTGCCCTTGGAACATGGGGGATAACCACAGACAGACCATATAATCAAACACTTATAGGTTGTAAAGACCTTTAAGAAGAGAATATTCAAAAACACATGAATCTCTGGAAATTTACCAATACAGGCATGGCATAGAATTTAGTATTAAGAAAATGTACCCTTTTCTTCTGTGTTTGTCAGCAACATATCCACTGGATAAAAGTAAAATGCCACTTCACATCAGCAAAACTTTGAGGCATTCAGCATGTGTCCCCTAGATACTATTCTGAGGTGGGAAGAGTGAGTAGAGCAAGCAACAAGGAGGAATGAGAGAATAATCAAAGCTCTAGTCAACTAGCTCATATACCACCTTGGTAAAGATGAAATATGTGCTACCCTGGGGATACACCTATATTCCTGGGCATGTGAATGAAATGGTTGAGAAAGGCTTCACCTCTGTGGACTGAGATGCTCATAGTGGACTTGGATTTCTTCAGGCAAGGAAGAATGAGAACTACCAATGTTAAGGACACCAAAGTGGTGGTGGGGGACCTCAGAACATGAGTAAACACCAGAATTGTCAGACAAATAAATATATTCTTCTATACAAAGGCTTTCACTACTTGATATGAATCTTAAAGAGTATATAAAGGTCTTTTTTTGTAGTTCTGTTAAAGAATATTCTAGTGCTGGCAAGATGGAATACCCTGATATAGTCTATATCCATGGGAAAGAAAAATTACCAGAAGATCATATTTAGTGGCTAATAATTTAAATTTGAGAAGTAGTGAGTCAGCTATACATAGATATATCCTTCAAGATAGAAATTCCAAAATTACTACAGACTGTACCGAAGCCCTAATGCCTGTGTGGCAATGCAGATGTGGCCAGAACCCCAGTAGATGCTGAGCCAACAGGCAGAGGCACAGCCCCTGAACACAAGAGCATTGTTCCAAGTCAGGGCTTCCTTGGCAAAATCATCTAGTGAAGATGCTGATCTCAACCTTTTTTCCCCAGATGCATTAAAATTTATGCCAAAAACCAGGCTCTGGATCTCTAATCCAGCCTAAATTTATATCACTCTCTAGACATTAATATTTTTGAAGACTTATTAAAAATGTGCACAATGAGCATCATGCCAATTTTTCAGAGTGATCAGAGTCACTCCAGTGTATCTGTAAAGTAACAAGCTGACATTTTAGCAACTGCTGCAGAGCTGACCTATGCACACACACCCTTTTCCCATCAAGGCAGCAGCTGTGGGGCTCTTCCCATTGCCTAAGAAGCTCTCAGTGCCACTTTGGGGTCCTTTATCATGCTGTCTTATTCATTAATAATTTACTCTATGCTTTATAATACAGCCTAAAATTGATAAATAGTGCTACTGATTTTCTCACTGCCATTACTTGTCACTTTATTATATGTTGAAAAAAATCTGTGAGGGAAAAGAAATAAATGAGAGGGGGGGGAGATTCCTTTGTACATAGAATTACAGAATCAGAGCTAAAATACATTTCATGAAGGCAGGTTATCTCCTTTTTTTCCTCCACAGTAAAGACCAGAGTGCTGAACTACATGATACTGCAACAAAGAAAAGGGTGTTTGAACAACCCAGCCTCATGCTCTATTTTGGATATTTCTGTTTGGGAGACTGACTTGTACTCTTACACATTGTGTTTCCTTGTGTATAAAATGCTGAGCCAACAGGCAGAGATACGGCCCCCTGAACACAAGTTGTTCCAACTCAGGGCTTCCTCTTACACCCTGTGTTTCCTTGTGTGAAAATCAGGGCAAAAATTCAATAAGTTACAATTGATCAAAAGATAAAAACTATTATGTTGCAAAGGATACCATCAAGAAAGTTAAAAAAAAGCCCACAGAATAGAAAGAAAATATCTGCAAATCATATATCTGATAAAGAACCTGCATGTAGAATACATTAAAAATGCTTACAAAAAATAAATTAAAAAATGGAAAAAGGACTTTGAATAGATACTTCTCCAAAGAAGATAGATAAATGGTTGAATAGCTACTGCTCCAAAGAAGATATATAAAAGGCTAATAAGCACATGAAAGAAGCCCAATATTATTATTCATTAGGGAAATGGAAATTAA